CCATCTATTCTGTTTAATGTCATCATTCATTGGTCTGGAGGGAGGCCAGATTGTGGATACACAGGTAGTCCTCAACTTACAACCACAATTGAGCCCAAAATTTATGTTGCTAAGTGAGAAATTTGTTAAGTCAGGTTGCCCCCTTTTATGACTTTTCTTGTCATGTTTGTTAAGTGAATCCCTGCAGTTAAATTAATTACAAAGTTCTTAATGAATCTGGTTTCCCCATTGACATTTATTTATTTATTTATTTATTTATTTATTTATTTATTTATTTATTAAATTTTTATACCGCCCTTCTCCCGAAGGACTCAGGGCGGTGAACAGCCAGGGTTAAAATACATGCAGTATGAAAATTAAAATAATCTAAAATTAATTAAATCCAATTTGGCTTTCCAATTTTAAAACCCCTTACCCATAAAATTAATCAATTAAAATTTTAAGCCAGCCCGGCTCACTGAAACAAGAAAGTCTTCAGAGCCCGGCGGAAAGTACGGAGGTCCGGTATCATTCGTATCCCTGGGGGTAGCTCATTCCAGAGAGCAGGTGCCCCCACAGAGAAGGCTCTCCCCCTGGGGGTCACCAGTCGACATTGCTTGACCGACGGCACTGTTGAGTCCTCGCAGTACCGACGCCTGCGGACTCCGTTGTTGCTGCCCTCCCGCGATTGGCTAAGTCGTGCTGGACTGCCAAGCGGGAGAAATACACCCTTATGATTGGACGTTCTAGTCTTTCAGCTCGCTATTTAAGCAGCTGTCAGGCAGTTTTGCGTTCGTTCGTTACTGAGGTATTCATTGTACTCAAGTTATCTGTTGGCTTAATAAAGAATTGATTAGCCTAGCCATGAGTCCATGCTTTTGTTCTAGGACAGAACAGGCACCCTGAGGAGACCCTCTCTGTGGGAGCGTATTGGCCAGTGGGAGGTTATCGGTGGCAGAAGGTGGTCTCGTAGATATCCAGGCCCTAAGCCATGGAGCCCTAAGCCATGGAGCACTTTAAAGGTGAGAACCAAAACCTTGAAGTGCACCCGGAAGACCACCGGAAGCCAGTGCAGCTCACGCAGGAGAGGTGTTACATGGGAGCGCCATGTCGCCCCCATAATCACCCACGCGGCTGCATTCTGGACCAGTTGGAGCTTCCGGGTGCTCCTCAAGGGGAACCACATGTAGAGAGCATGACTTTGCTTGTCAGAAGATTGCAAAAGGTGATCACAGGACCCTGGGGCACAGCAATGGTCATAAATGTGAGTCAGTGGTCAAGCATCTGAATGTAAGTCATGTGGCCATAAGGTCATACATCTGAAAGGTGGTCATAAATCACTTTTTTTAGTGCCATTGTAATGTTGAATGGTCACTCAGCGAACTGTTGTAAGTAGAGGAGTACCTGTATACAACTGGTTGGAAAATGTACCTAAATTTTGTTTGGAGGCAACCTAAAACCACAAAGTGAACAACTTCAAATGAGCATGCAATAAAATACATCCTGGTGTTGAAAACAAGAGTCTGGTGCTCAGTCAAGCCACTTTTTATACGCACTATAGCAGGAGTCCCCAACCGTTGAGAACCGGGCTGCTCAAGCAATGGCCAAGCAGTTGAAACTCCACTTCTGCAGAGAACATCCTCAGGGAACCAGTGAGGTAGACCAGTAAGCATTCCATGCAACAGCCAGAACTGCAGAACAAAAGACCTCCCCAGAGAGAGTCACGTCTATCCCGGATGAGCCCCCACTTGTAGCGCTACCCCCAGAAGGGCTGCAAGAGTCTAGCTTCCCCTGGCCCTTTCTCCCTGATAGTTTACAGTCTTTTGGCTCACAGCCAAAAGTCTCTGGAGCTCTCATTCCAATTGTTTGCTCAGTCACCTCTATTTACCCAGCTCAACTCGCCTCCCCATTGTCCTGGTGTGCCTAACACTCCCTCTGGTCACTGTTGTGTGAAACCATCCCTTCCCTGTCCCACCCCCACAACTGCTGCTACTGCTAACCCTACCGATCCACAGAGCCAGAAAGATTGGGGGACACTGCACTATAGGAAATCCAGCTAGACATTCATATAGTTTGAACAATGAGTTGATATATAGGGACAATACCAGCGGTGGGTTGCTAGTGGTTCTACCCGGATCAGCGAAACAGTAGCAGCGATGGTGGGGGGCTCCGGCCACCTGCACCAGATGCTTCTGTGCATGCGAGCGTGCGTGTGACCGAACCAGTAGCAACAAGCTTTGCAACCCACTACTGGACAATACTATGTATAATCTACTCACTATGATCTGCTATAACTACATATCTTCAAAGTGATTAAGCAGTGATAAATAAAACAGCAACGTGTAACAATGTTGTATTTAGTAAATTACAAGCATGTAGAAAGAGCTAGAAAAGGAAATGCCTTACATCCTTTACAACTTAAAACACACACCAATCTTCAACCATATCTGTCTCCAAAAGGGTTGAGTGTGAGGGAGAAAGGTCAAGCAAATATTCCTGCCAGATTTGGAGAGAAAAGACAGGTCTTATCTACCTCCAGAAGAGACATCCAGAAAGCAGAAAATGAGCAGTCCGAAAGTGAGGAGCATGCAGTTCGAATTCTTCATTGTGCTCAAAGCAAGAATCCGATTTTGAGTTGAGCCATTTTATAGAGTATTCAATAGGGAAGTAGACCTCGGCATTCATGTAGTTAGAACAAGGAGGTCATGCCTAGGGACCCTGAGTATAGTTCCGCCAATCATCCATAAACAATGCTATAGAGTGTAGCAAATGAGTAATGAATTGTACTTGAATTAAATTGAAGGCATGAGGAAAACATGAGAGCTAGACTGATTTTGCACCACCTGCCGCTCTTATACAACCATTTTTTCTTACTTCGTGATACAGTCAAGGATTAACTACCATCCATCTTTCTACCAGCATTTCAATATGTTAATTTTTCAACATGCATCATCCCGTATTTAATACATGTTTTACCAAGTCTCATAGCCAGCCCAGCCTCTGATGAGGAGAACTAACAATGTGCCCAGTTCCAGAGTAGCTGGATAAACTGCTCCATGAGCTGCTGCAAGAAGAGTAGGTTGTGCTCAGTGGTAGAGTCCAATTTTTTTTACTACCAGTTCTGTGGGTGTGGCTTGGTGGGCGTGGCAGGGGAAGGATATTGCAAAATCTCCATTCCCTCCTCACTCCTGGGGCAAGGATGCTGCAAAATCCCCATTCCTTCCACACTCCTGGGGGAAGGATACTGCAAAATCCCCATTCCCTCCCCACTCCTGGGGGAAGGATATTGCAAAATATCCATTCCCTCCTCACTCCTGGGGGAAGGGTGCTGCAAAATCCCCATTCCCTCCACACTCCTGGGGGAAGGATACTGCAAAATCCCCATTCTCTCCCCACTCCTGGGGGAAGGATACTGCAAAATCCCCATTCCCTCCTCACTCCTGGGGGAAGGGTGCTGCAAAATCTCCATTCCCTCCTCACTCCTGGGGCAAGGGTGCTGCAAAATCCCCATTCCCTCCCCACTCCTGGGAAAGGATATTGCAAAATCCCCATTCCCTCCCCATTCCTTGGGGAAGGATACTAGCTGGGAATACGGGGGGGGGGGTATTGTTCTTGGATGATCCATTCCAGAAAGGACTTCCTAAAATCAATATTATATTCTGGGGGCTCTTCCACCATCAAGTCTGTTGTTAATGTGATCATATCTTGGAATGGGAGGGAGCATTTGTAAGCGGACTGCAGGTAGGGGTGGAGGGGAAAGAAAGGTCTTATCTACCTGCATCTGGAAAGCAGAAAATGAGCAGTACAAAAGTGAGGAGCATGTAGCTTGAATGCATCATGGTGGTGAAAATATCCCTTGCTGAGTTGAGCCATTTTATAGATTGCTCAATAGGGAAGTAAACTTGGGCACTCATGAAGTTGGAACAAAGAGGTCCTTCCTAGGGACCCCGAGTACAGTTCCACCAATCATCCATAAACAGTGCTATATAGAGTGTAGCAGTTTGAGTAAGGAATTGTGCCCGAATTAAACTGAAAGAATGAGGAATGTGATAAAAAAAGGAAAGAGCTAGAATGACTTTGCACCACCTCACTCTCTCTATCTTTCTATCCTTGTAAACCACTTTTCGTTTTTACCACCTCTATATTTTGCTGTTTATTTCCACAACGAAAGTTCTCATCTTTCTTTCCAGGCTTGCATCAAATCCAACCATGGTACTCTAAATCTTTGCCTTCCTCATGAACCATTCACTTTTTCTTTCTTTACTTGTTTTGCAATTCTACTCCCATTAATTTACTTGACTGAATCAGTTTCCTTCACTATTGTATTGTATACAATACAATATTGTATTGTATTGTACCTTCAAGACCGACTTCTGCCACCAACAGCCTCCCACCGGCCAGTTCGCTCCCACAGAGAGGGTCTCCTCAGGGTGCCATCAGCCAAGTTATGTCGACTGGCGACACCCAGGGCGAGGGCCTTCTCTGTGGGAGCCCCAGCCCTGTGGAATGAACTGCCCCCGGAAATACGTAAGATCTCTGACCTCCGTGTATTTCGCTGTGCCCTCAAGACCCTGCTGTTCCGTCAGGCCGGGCTATCAATGTAATGATTTTTAAATTGGGTGTTTTAAATTTTGGGGTTTTAAATCTGAGCCGAAATTATTTAATAATTTTAATTATTTTTAACTGATGTCTGTCTTTGTGCTTTTAATAGGCTGTACACCACCCTGAGTCCTTCAGGAGAAGAGCAGTATAGAAATAAAATTATTTATTTATTTATTTATTACACTTCACAAACTCTTGACCCTGTTGCTTCTTGCTCTACCACACAAATAGTTTATGCATTTCTTTCCCGTGCAATAGTGGTGAATATCTGTAGCTCGGGTGTAGCATGAGGATGAAGGTTCGTCCTCCAAGTTTGTGGGTTGGTTTCCGGATGTTTCTTTACTGGGCTAGGGAACATCTTCAACGGAATTTAGGGGATGTCAGTGTCGATGTTCTTCTATGTCATAATACTTGAGTGTGGAGAGAGAGAGAGACAAGGTTGTATGTGGATCAGTGGTGGCTTGCTCCCGGTTTGGTCCGGTTCTTGCGAACCGGTAATAAAAGCAGTGGGAGGCTCCGCCCGCCCACCCGAACATCATCATGGCCGATCAGCGCATGCGCAGATGCTTCTGTAGTGCGCTCCCATTGCGAACTGGTAGTAAAGGTAAGTAGAACCTACCCCTGATGTGGATAGACACAGTTGGGGGTTGATTGGGGAAAGGTCCCTAAATTTGGGCAAGAAGCATCCTGAAACCAGAAAGTGAAGAAGTCTGAATGAGCATGTAGCAAAATATATCCTAGTGCTCAGTCAAGGCACTTTTATATTGCACTCTAGGGAAATATAGCTGAAAACATATCTTGACATTCATGTACTTGGAAGCATGAGGTCATAAATAGGGTCCTTGAGCACAGTTGTGCTACAACTACAAACTGTTCACACTGGTTAAATACTGCTACATAGAACATAGCAAAGACTAAGAAATAGTGTGCTTGATATATTGAAGGCATGTGAAGAGAGTTGGAAAAGAACCTATTTTACAACCTTTACAATCTTATGCCTACACCTATAATTCTCATTATCCTTACACCATAGAGTGGAGTTTGTGACTTATCTTTCTCAAAATGATTGTCTGTGGGGGAGGAAGGCCAAGGAAATATTCCTGCCAGATCAGATGCTTCGTATTCTCTACTACAATAAAACACCTTTGAATATTCCCTGAAGCTGATATATTCACTAAATACTCTGAATTGGGGTGTCTTATTTGTAATGTGGTTGATGGTGTGACAGAATAAAAGGAGTAGTATAAATTCTACTTCGGAAACTGGATATTAGCATGTCAAAGCATTAATATGTTTATTTAAGAGTATGCTTAGAATCAGATACATGCAAGGTGTTTCAGTGGGAGACTCCATGGGAATTTGGATTCCTTTCTCAGATGCTGAATCCACTCCATCTCTCAGAGGATCCCATCAGTGAGATCAGGAATTGGAGTCAATGTTACGCTGGAAAAAAGACAGAATCAAAATCAAGTTGTCAGCAGTAGAAGAGGCAAGTATCTCATTGGTTCCTTAGCCTGCTCTAGCTTGTAGGGCAGCCACCCAGTGATGAGTTGCCCCCAGTTCGGACTGGGTTGCAAGAACCGGTAGTAAAACCGGCAGGAGGCTCCGCCCACTGACCCGGACGTCATCAGAAGTGATCTGCGCATGTGCGCGCAGGCACAATGCAAACTGATAGTAAAGGTAAGTAGAACCCACCCCTGCAGCCACCTCCTCAGCAGGAAAATTGAAAATAGGCAGAATGAGATATGGACCTTATTGTGTTTTCTCTCTAATTAAAGGTACCTCCATTGTTTATTTATTTTCTTATCTTATTCACAATGTGATGTCCTGATTTAGTATATGATGCCATGATTCACAGCAGGAAAAGAGGGGTGCCAAAAATGAATTTTTATTGTCTTTTTAGAAAGGCTGGAACCAAGGAAGTTCCTATAATTTAGCTAAATAGAAAGAATTATGGACCCCTCACAAACAAAGGGGGACAGTGGAGGTGGAGGAAAAAGGATGAGCTAGGATAGATGCCAGGATAGCCAAGAGATGCCAGGTCTATTATAGAGAGTGAGCCAGACAAACTCTCAAAATTGAATAACTAGAAGAAAAAGAAGTCCCAGTCTACAGCCAGGTGCACAGAGGGGGAAGTCTCACTCCAAACACTGCAAGAAAATTCATTGGCGCTTAGGTGCAAAGTAGCAGCATTTCCCCAGAAAACATTAAAACATATACATTTTAATGGTATATGTTACAATTTCCTTCATGGAGCTTTATTGCAAGACAGTCTGGACAAACAAAAGCATCTCCAGGCAATACATGTGTTAGAAGTAAGTTTTCTTGTGAGGAATATATAATTTTCTTTGATTTTACAGCATTTTGCTTAATCCCAAAGTGATCCCTTTTAACAATTGAGTGTAGAAGTCCTCACATAATTCTTTGCAAGAAAAACAGTAAAAACAGGAAAGCTTGCTTTATGGCATTTCTTTAGAAAATTTCTTTTTGCATTTTTACCATTTTAAAAGGTTTCCTGATTTAACAGATTGCACCCATTGATAAACTCCTCACTGGACCAGGGCCTGAATTGCAGATTTGAGCACTGAATTAATTTTAGGACTAAAGAGTTTTCAGATCATTGATTGGCAGAAAAGACTAAAATGCCATTTGTTTTAATGATGAACCGAGGCAAAGAATAACATTTCTTCCTTACCAGAACGTTGACATGCAGCTCTGCATTTATGCAGAGTTTTGAAGTTGTTTTTATTTCCTTCACATCCACCATAAATGAATGGCTCACAGTTCCCTGTTGCTGTGTTGAAATAAAAATTATGATGCGAAGCTTTGCACCGTCCTACATCTTTGGGAAGTTGACATATATCTGGAGATACACGTGAAAGTAAAAAGAAGAAAATAAAACAGACAGTCCCTCTTAAGGAAACCCAGAAGATCATCACATGAAAAAATACTGCATTCTGACTCTAGAGTGCAGGGAAAAATGAACATTGGAGCATTTATTGGAAAACTAGATCCTGAGAAAACCTCCCTAAACCTCAGAGAAAGTGAAACAATTTGCCTGCCCTCCCACGATGAGAGCACCCCATTTTGAGTCATTTCCATTTGAAGCCCACTGAGGAACTGAAGTACCATCTGGACAATGCAAGCTCCTCCATCCTAAGAAGAGGCACAGGGCTTCCAGACCTCCATTGGTGAGATCCCAGACTTATAGGATGGACTGATAGAATGGTCAGGAAGAGCTGTCCTTTCATTTGTTTGAAGGCTAGGGATTGTATTCCAGCAGATTGAAGAAGAAACTCAATCAACATTGGGAGGAGGGACACCTGGAAGTTGGGTGTGTTTGTGGGCTCTCCTCTGAAGGCTTCACAGAAGAACAGAATAATACGGCTGAAAGGGACCTTGGAGGTCTTTTAGTCCAACCCCCTGCTCAGGCAGGAAACCCTATACCATTTCAGACAAATGGTTGTCCAATCTCTTCTTTAAAACCTCCAGTGTTGGAGCACCCACAACTTCTGAAGGCAAGTCGTTCCACTGATTAATTATTCTCACTGTCAAGATATTTCTCCATAATTCTAGGTTGCTTCTCTCCTTGATTAGTTTCCATCCTTTGTTTTTGTCCTGCCTTCAGGTGCTCTGGAGAATAGATTGACCACCTCTTCTTTGTGGCAGCCCCTCAAATATTGGAACACTGCGATTGTGTCACCCCTAGTCCTTCTTTTCACTAGACTAGACACACCCAATTCCTGCAACCGTTCTTCATACGTTTTAGTCTCCAGTCTCCTAATTATCTTAGTTGCCCTTCTCTGCACTCTTTCTAGATTCTCAACATCTTTTTTATATTGTGACAACCAATTAATTAATTAATTCTGGGTGGGGGATATAAAATTGTTTCAACTTACCAAATGCGTTACAGGCCCTGTTGCATTCGTGGAAGGTCATAAAATTGTTTGCATTTCCTCCACAACCACCATAAGTAAACAATTGGCATCTCTTGTTGTAGGTACTATAATAATAGCGAGGAATTTTATCCTTGCAAGGTCCTTTTCGGGCACTTAATTTGCATTTACAAGGTATTTCTAAAAGGAAAACATGGGTGTTGGAAACTAAAGTTCTGTTACATCTCTTTTTTGAAATGCAGAAATAACAATATCAAGCAACGATATCTGCCTAGCCCAGCTCCTTGAGAAGGACTTGACAGGTTGATAAAGTGCCATAACAGCAGCAGCAGCAGGAGGAGGAGGAGGAGGAGAAGAAATAAGGAGGACAGTTCACTATACAGTACATTCCTTCCTACTAGAATGATACTTAAAGGTTATATTTGTCCTGCAGAAATGGAGGTAGAGATTTACTTCAAGTAAAACAAACTGTCTTTGCCTGTTTACTTTTCATTTTTTAAAATTCCATATATTGTCAGCCTCTGCCTTTACTGCTTTGGCTGCCATAAGAAACGGGAGGGGGACAGTTAGGGGGCAGGGGTGGGAATTGTGCAGGAGGAGTTTTCAAAGAAACGAAACCAAATCTCTGAAGGGGCTATCAGACCAACGGTCATTGCGTTCCTGATGGATGACGATGCCAGACGTGATTCCACCTGACCTCTGAGAGACCTTTGGATTGGATGATGGACGATGGACAGGGGAGGGGGATGCTTTCTAGATGCAATTTTTGCGCTTCTTGCTTAGTTTCAGCTTTACCTGGGTTGCGTTCACTTCATACTCTAGTAAAAGTACATTTCTCTATAACAATGGAGTTTGGCTTATTCTTTCCTGGGATTTTGAAGGAAGCATACCTGACATATATATTGAATTTATGCAAAGGACAGCCAAGAAAAGCATTGATGCAAGTTAAAAATAGAAACTTAGCAGATGTACAGGAAACAAAACATGAATATACAAATAATGTAATTTAAAAAATAACAATGGCAAGGAAAAGCTGGCAAGGAAAAGCATATAGCAAGATCAATTTGTACAAAAGATCAAGGGAAAAGTGGATAAAGATACAACTTGGAAACAGAAATATTCAACAAAACTGAAGACTTGATTTTGGCTGCACAAGAGTGAGCTTTTCAAAGCAACGCAATCAGGGCCAAACTGAAAAATTATCAAATGATTCAAAGTGCAGATTGTGCAGAGAAACAGAAGAAACCATAGATCATACCCTCCTGCAAGAAGATCACACAAAATTAGTATAAACAACAACATAACACAGTTGCCAGAATGATTCCCTGGAACATATGAGAAAATTATCACATGCCAGTAATATATAGTTGAAAAAATAGCTAAAAATAAGTAGTTTAAAATACTGTGATATTTCCAAATGCAAATGGATAACGTCTTGGCTCATAACACACAAGAGATAATTGTGGTTGAAAAGAAGAAAACTGGATAACTGTTGTGTACCAGGAGATAGTAGAATAGAAGACGAATTACAGAAATCACAAAGTATCAAGATCTGAAAAATTTCAAAACTGAAAGATTATGGCACAAATAATCTGTGGCGGTCCCTCCAAAATAAAAGGTTAATCTGATATAACAGGGGTGTCAAACTCACGTCATCATGGTGGTGTCATGTGATGTATCGGGACTCTTTTTCCCTTAGCTAAACTGGCCGAGGCCAGCACATGACACATGCGGCCTGTGAGCCAGGAATTTTAACAGCCCTGTGATGTAATATGCTCTTGACAGACCCATGCTGACTTTTAGTTATAGTACATTTACTAATTATTGAAATACATGTTTGTCAAACTTTTCTAGTTCCTTGCTCAGTATAGATACTGAATCGATGGATTTCTAGCTTACTCCCTCTTTCCTTTTCTGAATTGTGAGACTACATTTTTTTCTGTCCTAGTTTCAGTGAAAGGAATAAAGTAGCATTAGCACTTAGACTTATATACTGCTCCATAGTGCTTTACAGCACTCTCTGAGCAGCTTACAATGTCAGGATAAAATGCAGTGTGATGCAGATATTTGGGGACAAGGCTTGCAGAGATGCTGGGCAGGAGAACATGCACTGTGGAAGGAGCAGTTGGAGTGGAGTATTTGCAGCAAGATTTGTGAAGGCATCAGGAAGCTTTCCTGGAGAAATGGCAGCTGATGGACAGGAGAGGTGACAGCAGAAGAAATGGGAAGCAAGAGAAAGATCACATATGTTCATTACAGCTTATTGTAGGATGAGTAGACATAATCCAAGCTAGATAGTCCATAATCAGAAAACACACAATGTCTTCAAAATTACCAAGGGAAGAGTCAAAGACTTAGTCAGGAACACTTTGAGGTTGAAAACATAGCAGGAGTCAAGAGCAAGAATAAACAAAGTGCAAAGCTAGATGTCAAAGTTAGTTTCAAGCAACAGAAGGTAGTCCTGGCATGGTTTAAATCTTCTCCCTGCCAGCATGTACAGTTGAACCTTTCCTTGCTCAATAGTTGCCAATAATGAGGCTCCAGGCTTGTTTGCAGAGTCACCATCTTGCTTGTGAGGTCCTTACTTAATAGG